ACTTCACTGCCATTCCTGCTGTCTAAAGTTTGGGTGTTTTCACCCCTTACTCTGGAGAGCTTGTTTGGAGGTTTTAGCGGGGATCAGAGCTACCCATATACCCTTGATGGAGGAAATGGTCCTCCTCTTTTGAACGTGGGCCTCTCCCAGTGTGCAGCTTCGGGAGAGACACACTTGAAGAATTGAGGGAGGCTGGGGATGGCCCCCTAGCCTGCCGGATCAGCTAAATCCAACCTGGCAATCAATGGGTGGTAGATGTCGCAGCCAGATCACCCTCATGTCCTCAACCCTCACTCTTATATGCTGATATTTTGCTGGTTTTTAACTAAATATTGGTTTAAATATTGTATATTGATCACAGACTTTTTGTAGAAGAAAACCCAAGTTAGGGATTTCTTTTTTCAGCTCAAAGAAGTTTGTTGTTGTGATTTTATTGTTTTTTAATTGCACCTCCCAGAGCCATAGGTGACATTCTATAGAGAAAGCAGGCTGTTTCCTGGGCCCATTAACATATAAGGAAGACAAGAGAGAAGAAAAAAGGAGCTAGAACAGAGGTGAAATGACTCTTAGGTGACATCTCCCAGAACCGCCCTGGTCCCTACTTCCACATGAAATCTGCACCTTGGTCAGGTGAGTAAAGAAAACATCCCCCAAACAGCAGCACTCTTAAATGAACAGGAAAATCCTTCCCTGAGCTAAGCATAGACTTGAGTCTCCACAACAGAAATCCCACTGAGTCCGACGCTGGGAAAGAATTATGTAGCCAGTGGTATCCTGATAAAAGTATTAAGTAGTGCATGCAAATCATACATGCATTGTAACAGGAAAAAAATTACAAAGGAGGGAAGCCAGGTTGGTATCAAACTTCTCCTCTGCCAAACTGCCTGTATTAACTAGAGGATGATGGAGAGTATTTGTATTTTTTAAGAGGGAAAAGAGTATGGTCTAAGAATTGTATCCTCAGCCACTTCAAATGCAATTATAGCTAAAGAAAATACTCAGTAATAGGCAAAATTTCAAATCACATAACCCAGATCAGGAAAAAGGAAAGGCATAGAGGGAAGAGAGGAAGTGAGCAATGGATCTAAATAATTTTTTTCAGTTTAAACTCGGTGCATGAAACTTTAAAGAAACTTATTAAAATATTATGCACAGCAAAGGAGCCAAGAAGAAAGAAGTGAGAGAAGCATAAAGCAAGAGAAAGAGCCTGGGAATGGGAGATGCCCGGATGCTCATCTAGGCACATGGGGACGCCTGTCATAAGGTCCCAAGAAGTGGAGAAGCCATAAACCAGTATTGTATCATGCCCATGGCCAAAGCAGAGAGCCAGACAGGGTCTGCTGCCAGCTTCACAGCACGCATGAAAGAGCCCCCAGCCTCCCTGGTGGGGATGTGGGGTGGGAAGATCTTCAGCCACTGAGGGCAGAAGGGTGGGGAGGGTGGGTGTGGCTCCGTTAGGACACACTTGGAAGTTTCCAGTGATGGAAGAGTCCCCTAACTCAGCTGTGGTGGTAGTTACACAGTCTGCTCATGGGATAATAGACTTACCATACTCTTTGTATAAAGACTTAGACCATACTCTGTATAAAGCTGAGTACACACACCCACGTGTGCAAGAGAAAGCTGGTGAAATCTCAGAAGTCTGTGGCTTGGGCCAGTGTCAGTTCCCTGGTCTTGATCTTGTCCAATACTGTAGTTATTGTACCCCTATATTACTACTAGGGGTTCCTGGATGAAGGGCACCAGAGCCTCTCTACACTGGTTTTCCAACTTCCTGTGAAACTATAATCATTTCCAAATGCAGGAAAAACATGCCTCCACTGACACTTTGGATTCTGTGGTGAGAAACATCCTTGGCACAATCACACAATGCCCACAGCACCAAATTTCATCCAGGTGTTCCTGATAACATTCTTTATTTGCTTGTTTGGTTTGAGGAGGGGGAGTTTGGGTGGAAGGGACTGAAAATCGAACTCAGGACCTCACACTTACCAGGCAGGCACTGTGCCGCTGAGCTAAGGCACTGTCCCCCACCCCCACCACACATTACATTCTGAATGCAAGATGAACTACTTCACTGTGGTGAAATCCACTGGCTCTAAACGAGGGGCCCCCAGAGAGAAATCTGAGAGTTTGACCAGTACTGATACTTCAATTTAACTGTGTGAAAGCCTTGTTTTCCTATTTGCATGTATATCTCAATTATTTTTTATTATCTTTACCCTCTAAGATTTCAGGTAGTTCTGATGACTTTAGGACAATCCTAATACCCACCATGAAGGGGATCACAGTGGAAATCAGTGTCAAGGTAGACTCTGGAAACGTTGCCCAGATTTCCCATGAGGGCTCCTGAGAGACCCCCTCCAGCCCACTGTGGGGGGAGGAGCGTTTCTAAGCTGCCGTGTGGCAAAGACTCAAGCTGAAGACCGCACTCTCCCCCCCCCCGTCTCCCTCCCCAGGCTTACTCATCAGCTCTTGGAGCTCAGACTTCTGGGTCCAACCCAAGTGCTCAGTAGCTCTGGGGTGAACCCTGGACTCCATGACTATCACAGTTCATAGAGTTCCTCAGGACACTGGCCCCAGGACACACTCAGAAAACCACTGGACCTACTCAGGGTGCCACAAGTGACACCTCTAACCCCTTGTTCTCAGATGGCATTTCAGAGTCTGCAACAAAATCTTTTAAAAACATAAGCACATCATTGATGGGAGGTCAAAGAGGCAACGTTATGCACATTTCAGCTTCGTCCTTTTCTGAAACAACAACAGGAATTTATCCACAATACAATTCATTCTGCTGGCACATGAAACAAACACCTCCATCAGGACAGGGATGCTTCCCAAATGTCAGGAATAAGTCACTGCTATGTCTTTCAAGGTTCCCATGAGTTATACAGATTATAATTGTTCCTCTTAGATGGAGGAGGAAAGCAAAGCACAGAGAAGCTAAGTAACTTCCCCAGAGTCACACAGCTTAAATCAAGGACACAGGATTCAAACTTAAGCAGGCTGGCCTGAGACCCCAACCTTTAAACTTCCTTTAAACTTTAAGTAACTCTATACCACTTAAAGACTTCTTTGGGGGGGGGGATTTAGCTCAGCGGCATAAGCACCTGCCTTGCAAGCAGGCAGTCGTGAGTTCGATCCCTGGTACCGATAAAAATGAAAAAGACAAAAAAAAAAAAAAGATTTCTTTGGCAAGAGACAGAGTATAATTTTCACTATAGTAATGTGTTGTCAAAACTTCAGTGATTAGGAACCTTATTTTGATTGCTGGAGGAGAGGTCTGACTGCTTTTGCATATATTATGGCTGCTCGTGAGTGATTGTCATCATTAACAGCAGAACCTTCTTATATCTTTAGAGCCCAAAAACAAGATCAGTCTGGTTTTTAATTGTCTTAGTCTGAAAGTGGAATTTGGTGAGTTTTAAAAATTGCTTCTGAGCTCATCCCTTAGTGACCAAATGTATCCTAAGATGTCAAGCAAGATATATAGTTCTGGGTCTGTTTATTAGACAACAAATAAACAATGTTAAAATCAATGGAAGAATAAAAGTGATGCCTCCTTACACAGCCCTGAATGAGAAGGAAACGGTTGCTCATGAGGGAGAAGAACATTCCCTCCACAAGGCCTGCATCAAACCCCAGCCATCTCTGCGCTTCATTACCATCAATTATTCATAGTAATATGTGGGCGACACTTGCAGAGGCTTCAAATATAAATGACACCATCTCGAGAAATCCTCCCCATGTTCACCTTGGCCAGAGCTCTGCAGAGATGCGTGTAGCTCACAGGATCTGCAAAGCCCCTTTGCCCACTTCCCCTGCTCGGAGAGTGCTGAGATGCATTTCACTGTGCACACTTTCTCCTTTTTTATTTTCTCATTGCCTCTGCCAGCCACAGTTCTAAAGTTTGAATCTACGGGTAAAAACTGAAGCAGGGTGGAGGAGGGCTGTGTAGCAAAGGCCCATGGAGGCTCCTGAAGTCACTAATCCCACCGTGTCAACTCCAAAGAGCAGGGGACAGAGACAGGAGGAGGCTACAGACAGCAGGTGACACCAGATGTGTGTCTGCTGAGATCTTCCTAGAATAAGGGGACTGGAAGAGGTCCCCAGGGAGCCTGCAACCCTAGTGTCTTTATGGCTGCCAAGAGTAACATCACCTCTTAGACAAGACCAAAAAAATTAATAATAGATGATAATAACTTTGTTCTGAATTCTAAAGAATTCTATGTCCAAAGCCACAACTCTAAAAGGACATTCTTCACACTTCCAACATTTTGCTCAGCTAACACCATTGCAATGAGTATATTGTCAGCAAGTAAAGAACAGACTTGAGGAACTACCATTATCTTCTGTGCAGCTGAAGGATCTTAACACCAAAAAAAGTCAGCATTGGCAATAATGGACTTACAGTTAAATAGAAATAAAATCTTTAATTATTCATCCTTACTGCATCTCTCTGGCTTCTAAATAATACAAATGATGAGCATGTTTGAATAAACTGGAAGAACGGAAAGAGCTACAGTAGGTAAAAACAAATCAAATACAATTTTCTCCTTTTACCATTAGTGAAGTCTTTCTTGGTGCTGATTTCTATCTCTCCATACTCTTGACTTAAGAAAAACTCACTTCATTCTCATGTGAAAACACAGGACTGACTGAGGGCATCTGCTGCCAAGTTAGGATGATGATGAATTGTTAGTAAAGCTCACTTGAGGAAATTTCAAACTCGGCCGGTCAGAAAAAGGAAACGGTATTTAAAGTCATTCAAAAAAGTAGCAAAGATTTCTACATTTCTAAGTGAGCCCATGTGAGGAGTAGATATATTTGCAGCAGCTTGCTTATGTCCCCATCTCTTTGAGGAACTTAAAATTATTTTAAACCTTCATAGAAAAACTACACAATGCCTTTCCTACAGACACTAAACACATCAGTTCTACAGGTTACAGCCAGGGTGAGGTTTGTGGAAAGACAGAAAGTAAAAGCCGGTAACATACCCATCAGTGGTGCTTGTCAGGCAGGATTCTCTTTTACCCCAAAGTCTGCTGTCCCTTCGCTCGCAGGAGGAGGGAGGCTTTTATAACTGGAGCTTTCGCAGCTCCGCCTTCTTTCAAAAAGAAGAATGAAAACTCCTCACCCACTGAAAGAAAATTCTTGAAGCTGTGGCACACAGGAGCTATTTAGCAACAGGCTATGAGAGAGGGAGGTATAACCACAGAGCCCTGCGACTCCAATGCTGATAAACTGGTGATGCTAAATTCCCATCCTGGGTTTGCCGGTAGTGTCACATCGCTAAACCACACTAAACGTTAAGTTCTACGATCAGTGACACGTTTTCAACACCACAAGTGAAATGGGAAGTGCTCATTATGGAAAATGATGAAGAAATTAATTAATAGATTAAAAGCGCTTGATTAAAATGAGAAGTCTTAAATAGAAGCAATTTAAGAAACTTAGCTTTTTTTTTGTTTTTTATGTTTCCTTGCAGTTTGTCCTAACCTTCCCCACACCAGCATTTATTCATCCCTGGGTGAGAGGACGGGGGCTTAAGGCACTTTAGTGGTGGTCGAGCCGGGCTAGTTTATTAATTCACAGTTACCTCCACGTTGCCTTTAAATTACTTTGCCTTTGTAAAACTCTACCAGGAGAGCAGCAATATCCACCAAGGGACAACTTCCAGTCTTCACTGACATAAGAATTATGTTAAAGCTCATGGTCCTTGATTGCTGCCTTTTATTTCTATTATATGCTTACATATGAAATGCACGCTACGGACAAGTAGAAATGGGAGAAGGTCATTTATCTTTTGAAGGTGCTCAGTAGTTATTGATTGAATAAACACGTGAACAAACAAAGTGAGATTAATGAGGACTGAAATAGGAATAGAATTCCAAAGAAGTCAAAGCAGGGGGAAAGCTCATTTTTAAGAGGGAGAGTTGAGTGATGGAATGACAAAAGTCAAAAACCGTGAAGATGCAGCAGAAAAGGTGTCTGATGAGCAGCTGATGTAGCTCGCAGGTGGAGAGTCACCTGCCATGGACGCTCACCCTCTTCCCAGAACGACAGACACAAGGCCCAAGTCGAGAAAGTATCCCCACCTCCAGACCTGGCCAAGCTATCTTCCTCACAGTTTCACTGAGAAGCCTACAGAAGAGAATAAATTCATCTCTGACACCCTCTAGCATCCTGGGCTAAATGATGTCATTCTGGAAAGTGAGTGTTTGTGTAGGTTTCTCCATTCAATAGCAAGTGCTGATACCAAAAGCAAGTCACTGCCTACACTGGAAAGCAGATGGGCATTTAATGGCCAGTGATAAAATGACACTGAGTCCTGGGGAAACAGACTCCAACAGGGCGTTCTCAGCCAGCGTGGAGAGCAGCTCATCCTAGCTATGAACCGGGGCAGCAGGTTTTGCTTGAGGGTGGCTTCCTAGAAGGCAGGAGTCCATCCAAGCCCGGATGAGGAGACCATTCCTGACCATCCTCTCACTTGAAGCCAAATAGCACTTTTGAAGTCAAATGCTCCTGCTAGAACCGGGTACTTACATCTTTGCTGCAGAGAAGATGAGAGGGAAAAAAGCTACACTAGAAACATCCTAGCTTCTGTTGTTTAACCTACTACATAGGTTGATTTTAACTTTGGTGCTCACCGTACTATCTCACATGCCCAGAACCCACTGGGCTGCCGTGGAGTTCAAACCAATCCTAATGCCAGGATTCTTCCACAATGAGCAGAATTCTGACCTCTTCAGCACCCTAGAGAGCTTCCTTGGTATTTAAGGTTCTTTCTGTTCTGGTAGGGAATCCATGTTTCCTGACACAAATAATCAGGATAAAAGGGGAAGGTCAGCCATATTTTTGCTTAAAATGACATTTAAGCTTACAGCACTTGTCAAAGAAAGGTTAGATTTAAGTTTCAGTGAGAGTTATTGCTTTAATTAATCATCCAGGATACATAAGCATCTGACCTAGGTTAAGCTATGCACTTATAAATGTTAGGGCTGATGGTACTGGTGCCATTACATTCATTAACATAAACTGCGCGGGGTCATGCAGTTTATGTTAATGTCAAACTCTGCTTGCATCATGTTTATGCGATTTCCTGCATCTGCATGGCACGCAGTCTTTATGGTTGTCTTCAGGTCTTGAAGCTAAGCATGCTCTTTTGGAAGTCACTTAACAGTGCTTTTGTAACAACATTCATCATGAGACTGCAAACTAAAACAAACAGCTATTCAGTACTATCCACATTGAGGCCTTAGCTCAGAGCAACATCTGGGCCTGTGCTGAAGAAGTTTTATGCTGAATCATCCCCTGGCCAGATTTCTAGCTCCTTGACTTTTCTAAAAATATACAGAAGGGGAGATTGCCAGCTCAGACCCAGCAGAGGAAGATGCTGCCCGTGGGTCTCTGCAATTCTATCAACTTGCCTGGATTCTAACCCTGAAGTCTCCACGGGCCTTCCCTTCAGACACCACCACTGGGTATAATTTACAAATCAAAGAAACAGGAGGCAGGAATGCAAATGAATTCATGATTAACCAGGTAAGTACAAAGAGAATTTTTGTAAAGACAGAGATATTTGGGCAGATGCTAAAAAGAGGGGTAGGATTTGAGTTGTAACTCACAGAAGGTATCTTCAAGGAGAAACTTCCTGGCACAAGACACAAGACTCAAAATACTCCACAGGTCAGACAGGTAAAGGAAGTGAACGCAGTACTCAAGGCACCAGGGAAGGGTGGATTCTTGGAAAACTGGAAATCAGGAACCACATGGAAGGAGATTCTTCCAGAAAAGAGAGGTAGAGAAATCTCAAAATCATCTTCTGAGTAAATCACAAGACTGAAATTTCCCACAGTCCTAGGATTTCCTTCTCTCCCACACTCCGGCACATGCTCTTCCAGGCAGAGCCAAGGGTCCATGCAGTGTATCCATCCTTAGCCTACAGTATAGACAGCACCTACCAGGCACCTACAGGAGAGCAGAACCTAAAATTTTCTTTTGTAGACCAAGCAAACGAACTAGAAAGAACTGCAAAGACCTGTAGAGAAAGAAAAGTATGACTGAAGTATAAACAAATGATGGAAAAGAAAACAGGCTAAAATTATTACAAAACTGCTCAAGGAATATTCCCTGTGGAAGAGGCAGGAGCAAGAGTCTCAGGTGGCAAGAAGAGGAGAGAAGTACAAAGGTGAGAAATGGGGCAGAGAATGCCACCTGCGCCACATGTAATGCTATGTATCATCATGGACATCAAACGTCTGGATTTTGAGCTATATTTACAGAAACAGATTCAAAACGCATATTGTGATTCAAAATGCATATTACCAAGTGATTGGTATAGGTCACAAAACAAGGTATAGAGCTTCATCTTGGGCTTAAAATATATCTAGAAAGAAAAGTATAGAGGCGTGCTGGCTGAGGCCTGTAATCTACTGGCTGAGCTAGGCAGAGTCCTGAGCAGGTACTAGGCAGTGTCACAGAACTGAGAATCACAGGCTGGTGGAGACTTTGAGAATAGATGGGGAGTTGGTCTTGATTGGTCAGTGGCAGCCTGCAGGTCCTTAATGAGAGTGAAAGAGATGTGTAGGTTGGACCTCACAGGCAATGTGAGTTGGGAGGTCAAACAGATGTGTCCCTGTGGGAATCTCAGGCCCGGGAGGGCAGGTGTCTGCCATGGGTGAAGACAGAGCTACGCTCCAGCCCTACACACCCCACCCACTTCATGCTGCTTTCATGTATGATGTGGCCCTCCCCCAGGATGCAGAATCTGGCCCCTCCTGTGGACTTAGTTTTGAGCCTAGCCTCCAGTATCTCAGAGTGTGACCATATCTGAACACAAGGTGTTTGACCAGGTGATTGAGGTAAATGAGGCTAGAGGGTTGGGTCCTGAACCAACATAACAGGTGTCTTAATAAGAAGAGATCTGGTCACAGATAGATGCAGAGGAAAAAACCACAGGAAGACACAGGGAAAAGACAACTTGCAAGCCAAAGGGAGAGACCCCAATTGGACCAGCCCTGCTGACACCCTAACTCAGACCATCAGCTTCCAGAAGTGTGAAGAATAAAATAGTACAGTTCCCAGGTCCGGTGTAGCAAGAGCTAGGACCACAAGAGAAACTCAGGAAGAATTCCCATAGGAGCTGCTGGACTGCTCCTCCACAGCACTGTCCAGTGCTTGATCTGGGAGCAGAAAAGTAAGCTTTCATTGTACAAGTGCTGATGAAAATTTTAATGAATATTTAAATTTTTTTAAAAAACTATTGCAATAAAAGTTATATTGCCATGAACTGCCTTAAACTATTCCCACTCACATCAAACACACTTAACCTGTTACTTTTGCCACTTCCTAAAGCAACTCTGGAATTCTTCTTCTGTGAAGGTTTTTACAATGTATGATAAAAATATGGTGAATAATGCTCCTGCCTGCCATTCCATGAAAAGACAGGCTCTTAAATCATTGCTCTTTGCCCTCGTCTACCTGGTTCACCAGATCTGGCACCCTGCAACTTCTAGCTCTGCTCTAAAGTCAAAATGACCATGAAGTTAAATGTTTTAAATCAATTTAAAACACGGAAGCAGTCACAACACCACAACTAAAGATACTCACTTAGAAAGACTTCCAGAACTACTTCACAAAGTGATGAGAACAATAGGAGAAATGTGTTCAAAGTGAAGGAAATATTTTAAAGGGAAATTCAAATTCATGGAAATTTTTCATTTACTGCAGTAATTTTTAAAAGTTTGAATACAACAGAAAATATCCACCACCAGCCCCAGCTAGTATACTTCAGTTTCTTTAGTTGCCCAGGTAATATTCCTGTTCCAGCTTCTGGCACTTTCTTCTCTTACAAATAAATAGTTGGTCACTATAATGCACATTATATAAACCAATCCCCAACTGACAAGCCATCCTGATTCTGTACTTCCTGCTTGCTCATCCCATATAAGCCCTAGATGACAAGAGATCAGAGCATGATATTTTGCGAGTGACCCTAGTCAATGTCCATTGACATAAAATAAATCTGCCTCCAAATCTGGGGTGTTGTTTTGGTGTTTCCATTTGCTGTTTCACCTGGTGTGTGGGCCTGGA